CCCCCCCCCCCCCCGTCCTGCGCGAAGCGCGGAAGCTTTTACGTTTTATTAAATTATTAGCGAAAGAAGACGATTCATTGTAGAGTTCTCGACTCTTAATCCTTGTCTAAATTCAGCCCCCTCCCCCTCCTGCGCGAAGCGCGGAAGCTTTGACGCTTCATTAAACTATTAAAGAAAGAAGACGATTCGTTGTACCGTTCTCGACTCTTAATCCGCGTCTGAATTTAGTTTTTCCCCATCCCGCGCAAAGCGCGGAAAATTTTACGTTTTATTAAATTATTAGAGAAAGAAGACGATTCGTTGTAGAGTTCTCGACTCTTAATCCTCGTCTGAATTCAGGTTCCCCCTCACGGAAGCTTTTACGTTTCATTAAATCATTAGAGAAAGAAGACGACTCGTTGTAGAGTTCTCGACTCTTAATCCTTGTCGTAATTCAGCCCCCCCCCCCGTCCTGCGCGAAGCGCGGAAGCTTTTACGTTTTATTAAATTATTAGCGAAAGAAGACGATTCATTGTAGAGTTCTCGACTCTTAATCCTTGTCTAAATTCAGCCCCCCTCCCCCTCCTGCGCGAAGCGCGGAAGCTTTGACGCTTCATTAAACTATTAAAGAAAGAAGACGATTCGTTGTACCGTTCTCGACTCTTAATCCGCGTCTGAATTTTAGTTTTTCCCCATCCCGCGCAAAGCGCGGAAAATTTTACGTTTTATTAAATTATTAGAGAAAGAAGACGATTCGTTGTAGAGTTCTCGACTCTTAATCCTCGTCTGAATTCAGGTTCCCCCTCACGGAAGTTTTTACGTTTCATTAAATCATTAGAGAAAGAAGACGACTCGTTGTACCGTTCTCGACTCTTAATCCTCGTCTAAATTCAGTCCCCCCCCCTCCCCCTCCTGCGCGAGGCGCGGAAGCTTTGAAGTTTCATTAAAACTATTAAAGAAATAATACGATTCGTTGTAGAGTTCTCGACTCTTAATCCTCATCTGAATTCAGGTCCCCCCCAAGCTTTTAAGTTTTATAAGATTATGAGAGAAAGAAGACGATTCGTTGTAGAGTTCTCGACTCTTAATCCTCGTCTGAATTTAGGTTCCCCCCCCCCCTCCCGCGCAAAGCGCGGAAGCTTTTACGTTTCATTAAATCATTAGAGAAAGAAGACGATTCGTTGTACCGTTCTCGACTCTTAATCCTCGTCTGAATTCAGGTTCCCCCCTCCTCCTCCCGCGCGAAGCGCGGAAGCTTTTAAGTTTCATAAGATTATGAGAGAAAGAAGACGATTCGTTGTACCGTTCTCGACTCAAAATCTTCATCTGAATTTAGTTTTTCCCCTCCCGCGCGAAGCGCGGAAGCTTTGACGTTTCATTAAACTATTAAAGAAAGAATACGATTCGTTGTAGGGTTCTCGACTCTCAATCCTCGTCAGAATTCAGGTTCCCCCCCTCCTGCGCGAAGCGCGGAAGCTTTTCATTTATTCATTAGAGAAAGAAGACGATTCGTTGTACCGTTCTCGACTCTTAATCCTCGTCTGAATTCAGGTCCCCCCCCCCCTCCCGCGCGAAGCGCGGAAGCTTTTAAGTTTCATAAGATTATGAGAGAAAGAAGACGATTGGCTGTACAGTTCTCGAATCTTAATCCTCGTCTGAATTCAGGTTCCCCCCCCCCCCCCCCGCGCGGAAGCTTTTTCGTTTTACCGTTCTCGAAAATAATCCTCGTCGGAATGTAGTTCCCCCTCCAACCTCGCGCAAAACGCGGAAGCTTTTACGTTTCATTAAAGATTATTATTACCGTTCTCGCCTCTGAATCCTCGTCTGAATTCAGGTTCCCCCCTCTCGCGCAAAAGCTTTGACGTTTCATAAGATTATAAGAGAAAGAAGACAATTCACTGTACCGTTCTCGATTCTTAATCCTTGTCTGAATTCAGTCCCCCCCCCCCCCATCCCCTCCTGCGCGAAGCTTTGACGTTTCAATAAATTATTAGAGAAAGAAGACGATACGTTGTACCGTTCTCTATACTCTTAATCCTTGTCTGAATTTCAAAGATTTTCTTTGTCTGCTCCTTTTACTTTCTACGTCCTCTTCCGATTTGGGGGACCCCCCCCCCCCCCCCCCTGGCTGGCTACGCGCCTGCGGTCAGATAAACACATTTTGATAACTTGTCCGGCTCCGGAAGCTCAGGGGTTTTAGGCGTTTAATTAAGGTCAGATGATCATTTTTTTTAGTACCTATTATTTTGTGACACTGGCAGGTCACTATTTGGCGTGGGGTCCAGGGGGCGGATCCCCCCAAAAGCGGGGATTTAGGCATTAAATTACCGTCAGATGAGCATCTAAGGGCCTGCCGTAGCGCCCTAGGTGGAATCCAGGGGGCAGAGCCCCGGAAGCTTAAGGGTTTTAGGCATTTAATCACGGTCAGATGAGCATATTTTGATGACTCATTTTTTAACACTGGCAGTTAACTATTCGTTCTTTCTTGCGCTCATTCTATTTTTTTTCTCTTTAATATACTTTTTCAAATAAAGTGGGGGGGGGGGGGGAGGGAGCTCGAGGCTCCCGATCCCTGCCGTACCTCGGGCCCTGACATGTAGGAATCTCAAGAATCATATTTCGTGCCTGGCTGTAAATTTAGGAATTTGTCATTTTCCAACAAACACATATACAAACGTATAATTTACTAAAAAGTGAGGACAAATCTCGGAAATTATGTCATTTCAGCATTATTTGTAATCCACCGTTGTGGAATTATAAATAAACCACGTTTGAATTTGATTTCCCCAAAGCCCCCCCCCCCCCTCCCATTAGTACGCCAGTATCTCCTCTTTTCCTTTTTTCTTTCCCTTTCCTTCCTTCTCTCTTATTTTTTTGATTGGAGGGGGGGGGGGGGGGGGGGGGTCAACAGCCTGGGAGGAAAGGCCCTTTCGGTCCCCCCGATCTCCTTCTTCCCCCTTTTCTTTTATTCTTCTTCTTCTTCTTCTTTCTTTCCCTTTCTCTCCTATTTCTCTTTCCCTTCTTTTCCTTTCTTCTCTCTCTTTTTTTTTTTTTTTTTTTTTTGCGGGGGGGGGGGGGGGGGCCAAGGCCCGCTCGGCCCCCCCCCTGGATCCGCGCCTGCTTTAAGCACTGCCGATGATGAGTTTTCTTGAATTATACTACATTATTGATATACAGGAGCATTCTTGTTTATTAACAGCAGTGCATAAACAGTTGGGCTACACATCATACACAACACTGTAAACGTTAATAGGAGCACATCTATTCAAAGAACGAAGTATTACTTCCAGGAAATTGTGCAAATTCAAACAAGAATCCCTAATACGACTCGTTCAGACACAAGGCAGTAAAATGCAACAAGAATGTCCTTTGTAAAGGCATTAATCTACATTTGCCATTCTCCACCCTGGGAGGAATTTATAGAATGCCATATGCACTGTTACCGGAAGCCTAGCTAGACCTGGCTTAAAAATAAAGCACCTCTAGCAAATTAGCAATAATAAATTAGCAAACGTGGTGGTGACGAGCACAAAAAAAAGTATCCACTTTTAGTTATTTTACTTTGTATGTCTCGTTGAAGAGACTACATGAGATCCCGCCTTCGCGCATGCGCACATAGTCGTCTTCGCAAGCTAAGCTACTGGAAAGTTAAAACTTTTCATCGCATATTTTTACTTCATTTTCATTGGAAATCATCAGTTTTTTTTTGTAAACATAGTTTACTGGACTTTTTAAACGTTTTTTTGGGACGTTTCTCATCAGGTTAGACGTTGTCTAGGCCTCCCACTTTCGTTTTTTGAAACGATTCAGGAATATTGTGTTCGCAAGTGAGTCGTGATTTTCACGGACTCAGCTATGTCTTTGCACACAGCGGATTTGCGTCGTGCGTGTCGGGGGAGTTAGCCGACACTGGACCACTCGTCCGCCTAGTGAATCTAAGAGCGTGCGAGGAAAAAGAAGGAAGTCAAGAAAAGGACTTTGTTAAAATCAGATATCCCGTCGGGGAGTCGATCGAGTGCTATGGTCTCGAGACCTCCGGATGAAGCCAACATTGACGAAAACGTGGAAGTTTCTGCCATGGAATTTCGCATGAACAAAATGGAAGCCATGCTGGCTCGCGTAGTGGTGGCCATCCCCGGCCCCACTCAAACCCAAAGCGGACATTTTTCAGACGAGTCAGCAGATTTAGAGGACGTTGGATCAGATCACGAGGGGGAGCACTACACATCGGAACCGTGTGTCCCAAACATCGCAGCTAAGTTTGCTGTCCCCACTGGACTTGGGGAACCAGTGGATGAGGAAATTGCTAATTCTGCCTCATACTTGATAATGAACAGATTGGAGGACAAGGTCCTTTCGGATACGTCGGCTAAATACTTGCCTCCAAGTAACTGTGAATTTTTAGACACCCCAAAAGTAAACTCAGCAATCTGGGACAATCTTTCTCAACGTTCTCGTACTCGGGATTTGAAGCTTCAAAGAGTCCAAAGATCCTTGACCAGAGGACTGTCAGCATTTGCGCAGTCTCTCTCATCCCAAACAATTACGGAAACACAACAAGACTCCTTGGCATTGATTTGCAATGCCAACTATGAATTGAACAGCCTGAGAAAGGAGTTTATCAAGCCAGAGATGAACGAGGCTTACAGCCATCTATGCAAACCGTCGGCCCCAGTCACGAAGTATCTCTTTGGAGATGAACTGGGGAAGCGTATGAAAGACCTCAAGGAGGAGCAACAAATAAAGATCAAACTTCAAACGGTAAGTTCTCGTTTAATCTTTCTATTATCATTTATAAAATATCACCACCCCCGAAATAACGAGGCAAATATTGGTATCTTATAAAATAAAGAGTAGTGAGTACATATATGTATGGACCACTGTTTTCCACAACTACTTTTTGAATGCCTATATTATTGCCTCAGCTACTGTGGTTGATTTATAGGTTATTTCATAGCGCGTCATGTCTGAATAAGGCATTATTTATAACTTTTTTAATTAAAAAGGGATACTTTTATTCA